CTCACCTATTAACCATCTCTTTGGTAACTAAATAGATGGAAATTATTAAAAGTCTCTCGCTATAAGGCATGTTTTCCAGACCTCAAAACAACCTGTAGCTCTTTTTTTTTAACCGTTTCTAAGTTTTCAACAATCTTTTTGAAGTGTGGATATGAATTTAACACACTTTTCTAGTAATGTTCTCCCTAATGCCATATACACTCACCTATTAACCATCTCTTTGGTAACTAAATAGATGGAAATTATTAAAAGTCTCTCGCTATAAGGCATGTTTTCCAGACCTCAAAACAACCTGTAGCTCTTTTTTTTTAACCGTTTCTAAGTTTTCAACAATCTTTTTGAAGTGTGGATATGAATTTAACACACTTTTCTAGTAATGTTCTCCCTAATGCCATATACAGAGATCATTCCACCACCCAACTCTTAACATTTATAGTTAAAAATTCAAGTGCTAAATATTACTATTACTTGCAAGATCTGCAGACACTTACATAAACTTACACCATAATCAACAACACATTTCATAAGGCCAAACAAATTAACTGTCTGAATTCTATTTGCAAAGGTATTTGTCTGCATAACTAACAGATCACACATTGCAACAACACATGCAATTTAGATAGGACTATAGTCCTAGGCCAGATTAAGTCTTTTCAAAATCTTTACTACATAGGTAATAAACATATATCAATCCAATGGAATACATCCCATAGCCTTGAGCCCTGTCTACACCGCTGTGTATGCCATAGCTCAGACCATGCAGATTTGTCATGCAAGACATGGTGGAGGAATGTTAGAGGAAGTGTATTTGTATTGCCTTATTGAGGACAGTTGCTTTGCCTTTGGGAACCCATGGGCATGCCCTCAAGAAACCTGATTTTGAATCATTACTAAAACATGACATGACATCCTGAGGTAAACAGGGTGAAGTTTAATAAGGACAAATGCAAAGTACTCCACTTAGGAAGGAACAATCAGTTTCACATATACAGAATGGGAAGCGACTGTCTAGGAAGGAGTACTGCAGAGGAGCATCTAGCGGTTATAGTGGATGACAAATTAAACATGAGTCAACAGTGTGACACTGTTGCCAAAAAAGCAGACACAATTCTGAGATGCAGGAGTGTTTTCAGCAAGACATGAGAAGTCATTTGTCCGCTCTACTCCGCGCTGCTTAGGTCTCAGTTGGAGTAGTGTGTCCAGTTCTGGGTACCACATTTCAAGATGTGGAAAAATTTGAGACGGTCCAGAGAAGAGCAACAAGAATGATTAAAGGTCTAGAGAACATGACCTTTGAGGGAAGTCTGAAAGAACTGGGCCTGTTTCGTTTAGAAAAGAGAAGACTGAGAGGGGACATGTTAAAGGTTTTCAAATATCTAAAAGAGTGTTACAAGGAGGAGGGAAAAAAATTGTTCTCCTTGGCCTCTGAGGATAGGACAAGAAGCAATGGGCTTAAACTGCAGCAAGGGAGGTTTAGGTTGGACATTAGGAAAAACTTCCTAACTGTCACAGTGGTGAAACACTGGAATAAATTGCCTAGGGGGTATGTGGAATTTCCATCACTGGAGATATTTAAGAGCAAGTTGGATAGACATCTATCAGGGATGATCTTCTAGACCAGGGGTGGGAAAAAGGGCCTCCGCAGGCCAGATCTGGTTCACCAAGGGTATGTCTACACTACCCCGCTAGTTCGAACTAGGAGGGTAATGTAGGCATACCGCACTTGCAAATGAAGCCCGGGATTTGAATTTCCCGGGCTTCATTTGCATAAGCGGGGAGCCGCCATTTTTAAAACGCCGCTGGTTCGAACCCCGTGCATCACGGCTACATGGGGCACGAACTAGGTAGTTCGAACTAGGCTTCCTAGTTCGAACTAGGAGGGTAGTGTAGACATACCCCAAGCAAGTTGATCTGCCTGTGGAGGCCCTGCTACTCCCCCCGCCCCCAGGCCTATCAGGACTTGGGTGCGGGGCGGGAAGTGTGCAAAGTTTCTTCCCATCCTGCCCCTGCCCTGCAAGGAGTGCGTTGTGCTTAGAAGTGCCATGTGCTCCTGGCAGAGCAGGAGGAGACTATGCATGCTCTCCCCGCCCCTAAGGCATGACTGGCCTGAGAGCAGGGGAGGGAAGGTGCGTGACGTCTCCTCCCGCCCTGCCAGGAGTGTGCAGCATTTCTAAGTGCCATGTACTCCTGCCCTGCAAGGGGCTCAGCACTTCGTTGTGCTTAGAAGTGCCATGTGCTCCTGGCAGAGCAGGAGGAGACTATGCATGCTCTCCCCGCCCCTAAGGCATGACTGGCCTGAGAGCAGGGGAGGGAAGGTGCGTGACGTCTCCTCCCGCCCTGCCAGGAGTGTGCAGCATTTCTAAGTGCCATGTACTCCTGCCCTGCAAGGGGCTCAGCACTTAAAGTCAACTGCCAGATGCTGCTCAGCTGGTGGCTGATTCTAAGTGCAGCACTCCCTTGCAGGGCAAGGGCAGGGCGCGAGAGACTTCATGTGCTCCCCCTCCCCAGGCCCTGATTGACCTGGGGGCAGCAGGGAGAAGCACGTCAAGTCTCCTCCCACTGCTAGGGGCACAGGTACCTCGAGGAAACTGCCAGCTGTTCAGAACAGCTGGCAGTTCTCTCATGGATCGGGGGAGCAAAGACTTTGGCTACATCTATATTACAAGCTTCTTGCGGAAGAGCAAATGCAAATGGAGCACCCATTTGCATATGCAGCACTCATTTGCATTTCCTTTCCGTTTTGCGAAAGAGGTTTTTGCACAAAAAAGTGCTGTGTAGATGGCGTCTTTTTGCACAAAAAAACCCCTTTTGCGCAAGAGCCGTTCTTCCTCAAAAAAAATGAGGAAGAAGGATTCTTGCACAAAAAGAGGTTTATGCGCATAAAGGCGCCATTTACACAGTGCTTTTTTGCGCAAAAGGGAAAGGTAGAGGAAATGCAAATGAGCTTGCTATATATGCAAATGAGCGCTCTATTTGCATTTGCTCTTCCGCAAGAGGTTTGCAGTATATACGTAGCCTTTGCATGCTCCCCCACACCCAGACCAATCAGAGTCTGTGGGTGGGGAAGAATGGAAGTGTCCTAGCCTGTCCCCTTTCACCTGAAGCCCAAATTTCTGAAGAGGCCCCATGGTCAAAAATTATTGCCCATCTCTGATCTAGACAATGCTTGGTCCTGCTATGAGGGCTGGGGACTGGACCTGACCTCTCAAGGTCCCTGCCAGTTCTGTGATTCTATGATTCTATCACATGAGAGAAATTAAACAGCTCCTTACCCTCCCTTCCTTTCAAAATATTGCTGTCAATGTGCACTGTTATGTCTTAAAGCTCCCTCTCCACAGATTCCCAATATGGAGCAAATAAAGCAACAGTCCTGTATTTGTTCAGCTCTATGGCTGCCTTCTGCTTGATCTCAGTGGGAGCAGGATCTAGCCCCAGATCTTTAAATGGACATAGGTTATAGAGCCATGTCACAGTAAAACAAAAATCTATTGTCTTCTGAAAGACATGATCACAGCAAAGCAAATAGCGGCGAGTTGTTAATGCTGAATTTTTCACTAGCAGATATTTCAAATAACTTATGTTTGAATGGGTAATAGGTGCAAATCCCCAAAAGTAATATTAGTAATTTCATCGTGTGACCCATGAAATGGCATAGCAACAGTCTGGTGTGGAGCAAAAGACACCTGAAAGACTCAGAACCACATCATACAAATTTTACAATAAATTATGGTGCTTCCAAAATTGGACCCTCCGTGGGGAAAGGAACTTCATCTCTGATGAGGCGCCCTGCTGCAGACTGCCTAGCCTTGTCCCCAGTGTATGCATGGCTTTCCATGAGGTCCCTCAGTGCCTATGTCACATGCCCCATGTATACACTGGAGGGAGCATGGAGCAGGAGCTGATTTTGCTGAGGGAATTTCCAAAAGGGATCCATGCAGTGAAGCTGCTACTTCTGCCCTTCATGTGCACTTCCTCTCTTCTGTACCATGTTTCTTCTCTCTGACAGGGCACCGTTAATTACTCTGATCCCCAGACATTAGCAGCATTTGGGACTGTGCTAAATCAGGTTTCTACAGACAAGTCAATCCAATGCGGTAGCCACTGGAACACCTTTTGCAATCAGTGCCTTGAGACTCAACCATTGGTGGAACTACACTAGGGATCAATCTGGCCCTGTCAAAGTTGCAGCAGAAACTGGGTTAAAGTAACCAGACAGTAAAACTGATCAAACAAATAAACATGATGACATAGGTCAGAAACCTGAATTTGGAGACACTGACGTGGACCCCATGCCAGGTGAGTCCCCTTGAGGTCTATGCAGATGCAGAGTGCAAGCTAGTGAATCTGATTGCAGGATCAGGGCTTTACACCGTACATTGTTTCACTTGTTCTGTTCCATAATATCATAAAGCATGTTGGGACAACCCATCTAAGTCACAGAGTCCAGACCCTTTATTGGTTAGAGTTATCCCCTATGGTAGATTTGTTCAGTCCCATTAAGTGCTATCACCTCTTTCGGCACAGATGATGAATTCAAACAACCTTGTAACACATAACATTATTATCCCAAAGTTCTGAAGGTTAAAAATAACTATTATTACAAAAAGACTTAGTGACTATATACACACTTCAGACACACTGAACAACACAGTTCTACGGGTGCCTTATAAACATTAATTAATGTGTTACACTAATCTCTCATGCCCTTGCTTCCTATTCCCAGTGTGCAACATCATCAGCTGCTACCCATAAGTGTCTTATTCGTTGATTTGTTTAATTATTCAATATTAAACAGTGTTTTATACTGAATAATTGCCAAAGATTTTTAGTGACTACACTTGCCTTATTTAACTTTTTTACTGACTATGGTATTTTGCATAGGATGGTGAGAGTAAATAAAAATAAAAAATTATTTGTATAGTAAAAATAATGAAATTTCAGGCTGGGTTTTTAAAGAAACTTTAGAGAGTTAGAAACCCAAATTTCAATAAAATGTAATGAAAATTAGCTGCCTATCCCCCTTAGCGATATAGATTTAAGACCAAAAGGAACTATATATATCCTATATATATATCAAAGGCCACCATTTTTCACCCAGTTGCACCTGTACTAAGCTCAACAGAACCTTTTTTTAAAAAAGCTCTGGATTTCTCCTAACTCTTTACAGTGTAAGGTGAAAAACTGACATAATTCTTTGGATTATAATAGTGCCCAAATTTCTAGCCACTATCAAAACACATTACACGCTGTCCCTGCCATAAACCGCTTCCACGTAATGGAGACCTGACGGCCCAAACTTGTGCCAATCTCTTTTGTTTGTGTGTTTGTTTTCCAGTAACACTCCTCCAAATATTCTGAGCATTAAAATCTCACAATTGTTTGCTAAGTTTTAAAATTTATCACTTTAAAACAAGACATCACTTTTAAACCGGGGACTCTCATATAACTGCCGTGTTTGAATTCCCCAGCCCCTACCTTTAAATTCCTCAATAAAATTCTTTACCTTTAATGTTAATCTGTAACCTGTAACTTCTACCTGAAACGCTCTCTTGTTCTGCTTGGCAAACTGGCCCTGTCTTTCCCCAGCACCCCCTCCTCCTCTCCTTCCAGGCACACCCCTGTTGCTTTGATTGGATGGCTCCTGGTAATGAATGCAAGGCCATTGAAAGCTCTCAAACTGACTGGAGGGATTCCTTGTCTATCTGCCTTGCTTACATATCCCAGCCCCCACTTTTTGGAGTTTACCATCCTGTTTCCAAGGAGATGTTGGTTGCTGTGAAAGGCCAAACCTTCCCTTACTGACTGAGACACCTGCTAGAAGGAGTTGTGCTGTGCCTGTGTTGTGTGATTAGCAGATTTGTTTGTTTTGTTTTTATTGTATGTCTTCTAAATTGCCTTATACTAAATTACTGCCCAAACTGACTGCATGCTGATCATCATGCACCATATAGATTAACATTGGAGGGTCTGAATCCATTTTCTTTGCCCATCCAAATTCCCTATTTATTAACAGCGTTACATAAAGATTACAAGCCAGTGCTCTATCTAAACATCTATTCAAGGCTTGATATGATTCAGAAACCTCACTGGTATAATTCCTGTGTTCAAATAAGATGGAGAAAAAGTAGTGAAGAATTAGTCATTTTGGTTCCACAAAAACAAAGGTGCAGACATATTCTCTGCTATTGATTATTTCACCATTTTCAATAATTATTCAAAAAGAATCCGTATAAGGAAATGACAGGATTTCATTAACCCACTGAAAAAAAGAAAACTGAAAAGACAAGATTGGACATGATAAAAATCATCACACTCTGTTCAGTTTAGACACAAATGTTCTAATTACAGTAAGATATAGTAGAGACCTATTGTCTGAAAAAAATCAGCTCAGTGAACTAGATCAAGCAGTGTCATATTCGAGAGCTGTAATATCCTTCTGAACCCTCTCCTGTCCCAAAATGTCACCTAAAGGCAAAGCAAGCTATTTAAAATCAATGCAAGTGCGGAATGTGTAAGGAGTGGAGAAATTATCTGGGCTTCTTGGACAAACATTAGAGTGATGTTTTCTGCATCCTAACAAATAATTTGTTCTTCATCAACATCTATGTCTTGTTACCAAGATTTAATATATGCCTTGTTTTCTCACCTGGCAATTGATTTTAAGTTGTTGTGTAATCAGGAATCAATGCACTTTTAATCATTTGCTGGTTAGAGAATTATTGAATCCAAGCCATTGTAAACCCCCTTTATAATGTTTAAATTCCAGTAGAGGCCTAAGAGAGAGGAAAAAACCTCCAAAAGAAGATTCATTTAGTTGCCACAGCACTTGGAATGCCCCCCAAATGGCTTCAAGCTACTGCAGCTCGTGCACCCTCAAACCTCACATACTGCACACAATCACCACCAGAGACAAAGAATGAAAAAACTGGGAGAGAGTGCCAGTCACAGGGTCAAAATGAGGGACCCAAAGGTAGCTGGGCAGAAAGCATTGATATTTCAGCCATCACACTCCTTCCTGTGTAACCACAGAATAGCTACAGTGTAGGCAACAACAGTGCAGACTTTATTCTCTGCCAACCCATCTTGCCTCAGCGCAAAGGGGTCAGCTGGTAGCTGCGTCACTGTGACCCATGGGCCCTATGGGTGTGTGTTTGGGGGAGGGAGGACATATTACAATTTTGTCATTCTAAAGGAAATCATGAATCCCCAGGAAATGCCCTGGTCCAGTGGCTTTTATAGTCATTGTAACAACGGTGCTCCACTATTATCATTGTCCAGAACTAACTATAGGAAAGAGCTCCCTTATGCTGGGCAGAAATGATCATGGATGTATAGACCCACCTTTTATAAACTCTCTGCTTCACCAGATTGGATCTATAATTGGATCTATAATTCTGTGACTTACAAGGAAGGGCTCTATGGGCTACTGACTGGCCACTGAGCACTGTCTGAATCCAACTGTGGGCAGCACAGACCACAGAACTATCATACCATTAGGGCAGCTTCTTCTCTGCCTTTCGCTGCACTGCTGCTGGCCACATTCTGGTGTGAACTCTGGCAGAAATCTGGGTGAGGAGGGAGGGCATGTGATCCTGTGTGCTCCTCCCCCCATTTGCCTTGGGAGGACATGATGCCAGGACCGTGTCAGGGGCCCAGCCATGTGTGGAAGGCAGAGAGCACCAGGTACAGAGGGTCAGGTTGGTAAGCCACCTTCCCTGTGTGAGAGATATGGGTGGGGGTGTCACTTCTCCCTGGGAGAACCCTAATGCTAAGGTAAATAAAAAGAATCCAGCTACTCAGTATTTCTTTTTAACAGAGGCTCAGTCAACTTGATGTTAATTTGAATGTTTGCACTGCATAGTTCTGATTGATTGCCATTGAACCTGCTGGAATAGGAGTAATTTTACCAGGTGTCCCATAGCCATATTTTCCTATGCTGAATATCCCAGAACAGGGGCAGGCAAATTCTGGCTCATGGACCAGCTGCCGTATGCAGGGTGTGTCCCCACCTCTATAATTACCTGTGTCTCTGTAGGTATTGGGTGACTGCAGCTCTCGTTGGCCACAGATCACCTTTTGCAGCCTGTGGAGCGGCTGGCAGCAGTGTCCTGGTCCGCTTTGCTTCTCGATGCTCCTGTTGGCTGCAAATGGCGATCTGAGCCCAATGAGAGCTGCGATCACCCAGTACCATCAGAAGCATATGCAAATATAACAGTAGCTGCCTGCCAGAAACTAACCCTGGTGGGCCACTATTTTTTTTATTGCCCACCCCGATATGGACCATCTAACCACAAGAATGCCATGAAAATACATTGACGTATATGATAATTTGACATAATTAACATAGTACCCTGCAGAAGAAGGATACTTCAATATTTCATAGAATCACAGAACACTTTCAAAAAAGCTTCTTTCGAAAAAGAGCATCTAGACTGCAACCTCTTCTTTCGAAAAAGCAAAATGCTTTTTCGAAAGAGAGCACCCAGGCAGTCTGGATGCTCTCTTTCGAAAAAGCCCTGCTTGCATTCAAGAACGCCTTTTTTCGAAAGAACACTTTCGAAAAAAGACGTTCTTCCTCGTGAAATGAGGAGTACCGCCGTCAAAAGAAAAGCCGCTTTCTTTCGATTTAATTTTGAAAGAACGCAGCTGTAGTCTAGACGCAGGTGAAATTTTTTCAAAAAAACCATGCAGTCTAGACACAGCCCTCGTATCTTGCTCACAACACACCTGTTAATTGGTAGGATGAGGAAATACAAATAAGGAAGGGGGGGGCAGAACTCCTACTTAATATGTATTAGACATGAAGGCATCAGCACAACATTTTATAAAAGTTGCATCCCAACCTGCGGGCAAGGGGAGAGAGATGTAGACTTTGGAAAGTGTCAGAATGACAGTGATTGGTGATGAGGGAGAAGGTGAAGGTGATGAGGAAGACAAGGGACAACATTTCAGATTATCCTGCAAGGGATGCTGTATGTGGATGCTCACATGTACATTGTGTAGTCTTTCTATTTTATGAATTAGTGTGTTTGTGACTTAGCTAATGGATTAATAAACTATCTGTAAAGATAGAAGAGTTCCCAAAGGGGTGACTGTTGCAGCTGTGCACATTGGGGTTTCTCACTATATAGTAATTTTAGTAATACTGGGTTTGACTTTGGGACAAAGATCTCTCAACCTTTCAAGTGACACTGGGAATTCTTAGGTAATCTAATCTATATATCAGGCTACAGGAAACTATTTTAAAACATCTTTACAGAGGCTTAGCCCAAACACAACTCTGTTTCAAATTTAAAAAGGAAAAAAGAGGCAAAAAAGGCAATTAGATCAAGAAGACATCATGCTTGTAAATCTGGATCATGCTGCTCACTGTTCTCGTTGTTTTGCAAACCCAAGTGAAGTATTGAATGGGTTACAGGCAAGATTTCCATCTGTCTGTCTCACAAAAGGCATAATGTACTTCTCTAACTCCAGTCTGGCAGCATTGTGAGAGGTTGTAGCCAGACAGGAACCCCCCGTA